GACAGATCTCTTACTTCTGGCAGTACATGGTACTTTCAGTATTCTTCGCTAATACCACAACTCAAAAGCATCAACTCTTCTTCAGTCTTTCTTATTCTTTGTCCAGCTTTCACATGCACATGATGTGATGAAAATGCCATGGCTTGGGTTAGGAACACCTTAGCTTTCAAAGAGACATCTTTGTTCTTCAGCACTTTTCAAAGGCCTTTTGCGGCAGATTTGCTCAGAGCAATATGTCATCTGATTTCTTGACCTCTGCTTCCATTGATGTTGATTGTGGAACTCAGTATTATGAAATCTTTGACAATTACAATCTTTTCTCCATTTAACATGATGCTGTTTATTGGTCCAGTTGTGAGGACTTTCATTTTCTTTATGTTGAAGTGTAATCCATACTGAAGGCTGTAGTCTTCAATCTTCATCAGTAAGTGCTTCAAGTTATCTTCACTTTCAGCAAGCAAGTTGTGTCATCTGTGTATTGCAGGCTGTTGATGAGTCTTCCTCCATTCCTGATGCCATGCTCCTCTTCCTGTAGTCCAGGTTCTCAAATTATTTGTTCAGCATACAGATTGAATAAGCATGGTGAAAGGATACAACTCTGCCACACTACCTTCCTGATTTTAAGCCATGCAGTATCCCCTTATTCTATTCTAATGACAACCTCCTTTCCTCTGCACACGTTCCTCATAAGCACAATTAAGTGTTCTGGAATTCCCATACTTCTCAATGTTTTCTATAATTTGTTATAATCCTCATAGCAGTCCCATTACTAGGTATATATTCTAAAGAAGTGAGAGGCAGGACACAAATAGATACATGTATATCTATATTTGCACACCCAAATCTATCATGGCACTATTCACAACAGCAAAGAGATGCAAACAACCTGAATGCCCATCAACTGAAGAACGAATTACCAAACTATGGTACATACACACAATGGAATACTATGCAACACTAAAGAATAATGTAGAATCTGAAAAACACTACATAACATGGATGAACTTGAAAGACATTATGCTGAGTGAAATAAGTCAATCACAGAAGGACAAATATTTTATTAGTCTACTATTGTAAAAATGGGAGCTCTGGTAGCATAGTAGCTAAGACACTTGCCTGCTAACCAGACGGCTGGCGGTTCAAACCCACCAGCCACTCCTCGGAAGGAAGGTTGGGCAATCCTACTTCCGTAGTGATACTGCCTCGGAAATCCAAGGAGGGGTCGCTATGAGTTGGGGCCGACTCGACGGCACATAACAACAACAACAACATTGTGAAAAAAAAAAGTCAAAGAAAAGTTGGTACGTGGAAGGAAACTTTCTTTGTTGCTTACTAGGGATGGAAGGTGCTGGGAGGACAAATTCCTAGATAGGTTGAAAAATAAACACACACACACATATAGGAACGAACCCAAGATTATTAGTGGTTACCACCAGGGATAGGAGGGAGGGGAAAAGGAAAGTTTTTGCTTGTGGAGCATTGAGTTTATACTAATGGTGGTGGAATTTTGGAAAAGGATATCAATAATGGTGGTACAATATGAAAATGTCATCAATGTCCCTGAGCTATAAATGTGGAAGGTATCATGTTGGTGAATGTCTTGTTGTGTATGTTTTCCCTGCAATAAAAGTAAAAAAAAAAAAAAAAAAAAGATTCTACCAACACCAAGACTATGTAACCATTTCCAAATAGCTAACTTCTAAAAGCAGAATGTTTGCATATTTAAAATGATCTCTACAGAAATATACATAATTTAACATGTAATTTGTATTTATAAGATGGATGCATCACTGTTATTAAAATTACCAGCTTTCAATTAGTTATGTCAGGCAATATTTTACCTGATTTTGCCTATGGGTCTTGTACTATTAGTATCTCCATTTTGTAGATGAGAAATCTGAGACGATACTACTATACCTTGACAAGGGTAAGATTAAAACACATTTACCTTCTGAGGTCTTAAATCAAACTAGGTGATACAGCTAAAATGATCTGAAAACGCTTCAGATTTGATGTGAATCAATACAATTTATCTCCTGATTAGAGTATTAGAGGAAGTTCTGGTAGCATAGTGCCTAAGTCACTTGACTGCTAACCAGAAGGTTGGTGGTTCAAATCCACCAGCCACTCCCAAGAAGGAAGATAGGGCAATCTACTTCTGTAGAGATACTGCCTCAAAAACCCAAGGAGGGGTCACTGTGAGTTGGGTCTGACTCGACAGCACATAACTACAACAGCAACAGTGTATTAGAATAAACATGGGAAAATGAGAAAAGGGACAGAAGAAAGAGGGAAGAAAGGAAAAAGAGAAGCAGGATGACAGAGATTCTGAGGTAGTCTAACTATATATTGAGGAGCCAAGCAAGAGGAATAGAGTAAGATTCACACACATATTTAAAAAAAGGAGGGGGAGGGGGAAGAGAACATAGTCCACTCATGAAACAAAGAAACAAACAAACAGTTTTAGTCAAGCTGAATTGCACTTATGGTTCCATCATGTGTGGCACAGTAGATCTGTGCTCCAAAGGGTTTTCAAGGGCTGATTTTTTACAAGTAGATCACCAGGCCTTTCTTCTGAGATACTTCTCAGTGGACTTGAACATCGAACCTTTTGGTTAGCAGAGAGAGTGTTAGCTGTTTGTACCATGTAAATCATGAAAACTTTTTTCTGAGTAAAATGAATAAACAGTGCAGGCATTCCAAAGGAGAGATGTGCAGAGAATCAAACAATTCACAAGGCATTACAATTGTGATTTTATGTTGAATATCAACATCTACATAACTATATCCATATGTTGTTGTTGTTGTTGTTATTGTTATTTGTCATCGAGTCAGCCCCGACTCATAGCGACCCCTCCTTGGGTTTTCGAGGCAGTATCACTACGAAGTAGGAATGCCCAACCTTCCTTCCGAGGAGTGGCTGGTGGGTTTGAACCGCCAGCCTTCTGGTTAGCAGTCCAATGCCTTAGGCACTATGCTACCAGAGCTCCTATATCCATATATATATATATATATATATATATATATATATATATATATATATATATATATATATATATATATATATATATATATATATATATATCAGCGCTTGGTCCTATTTCTAAAACTTCTTTTGTGATAAACTTGGCTTATTGTTAACAATTATTAAAGTTTTAAGAAAAGTATTTTGGAGGTCAAAACCAAACAAAACAGGAAATGCTACCTTACTTTTATAGATGTTAAAGTAAGTGACACCAAAGTTATTCAGTTGATACTAAATATTTACTTTTAGTGTGAGATATTTTAAGACAAGTTCAACAAACAAGAGCAACATTTAGCTCTTAAAATAACCATTCTATGAATTGAGCATCATTAATACCCTCTTAGAGTTGAGAAAACCAGGGCTTAAAATAAATTGTTCATGATCATATAGCGGGTAAGTGATGGAGCCAGGATTCCAATCCTGTGTAGTAGTTATGTGAATATTTCCAAGCAACTAACACCTAATGGCTAAACATTTACTTATTTTAAATCATTTCTAATAATAATTGTTGTTTTAGTTGCCATTGAGTTGGCTCCAACTCATGGGGCCCCGTGTATGCAGAGCAGAACTGCCTTCTACAGGGTTTTCAGGGCTGTGAATTTTGGAAGCAGATAGCCAGTCCTTTCAAGGTATCTCTAGGTGTGTTCAAACCACCAACCTTTCAGTTGGTAGTTGTGATGGTTATGTTTGTATGTCAACTTGGCTAGGCCTGGTTGAGTGGCTGGGAAGCTGAATGTAGTACTCCCCATGATGAGACAGGTAATCAACTCCATGGTGGAATCTACTGGGAGCAGCTGAGTTGCTGCCTTAGGGAATGTGGTCTGTTTCCTGTATATAAGGAGAAGCCTTGGGAATGGTCTCCAGCCTATGGCACACTTGGACCCTGCATGTAGCCGTGTCATTGCTCAGCAGCCTGCTATTCTCTGCTGACCTTGGGACTTACAATGGACTTAAGTCAATGGCCTGCCATGTGGTAATATCGTGACTGTGCCTTTTTACTTGTCAACCTTGGGGTTTCTCAACCTCAGCAGCCAGTAGCTGTGTGAGTGAAGAAATGCCTCTAGCTCCAGTGGGCCAGGAGCAGGAGGCAGAGGTGGACCCCAAGGTTGAGGGGCTTTCACCCAGCCCCTAGAGCCTGGCACTTTGAACTTGGACTTAAAGCCTCCAAATTGTAAGAATAAATTCCTGTTTTTAAGATCATCCCATTTGTGGTATATTTTCTCATCAGAGTGGCACCAGGTAACCAGAACAGTAGTTGAATGCTACTTAAAACTGTTTGCACCACTCAGGGACTTCAATAATAAAACTAATAGTAATTAGAAATACTCCTATTTTAATAATTCATTGTATTGACCTGAGGTAAGTATAACTCATAAAAATCACCAGCCTTCCATTAGTAAATACTGAGTGATATATTACTTCTTTTCATATAATTTATAACTCCATTAGATGAGAACAGGCATGGAGTCTACTTTTTGTTCATTTATATATTAAGATATATCTTAATTACCATTTAAAAATGTTGAGTGAAAGAAATTCATCAGGTAATGAATGAAGAAACAGATAAATGCCAGACTCCAGTGCCATATCACAATTTAATAAGCAGCCCATCAGAACATTCTAGACAACCTGAGAAAACAAGTGCTACTATACAGAACTGACACCATTTCATGAAAAAACAAGATTTGACTGTATACTCTATGCAGTATTACCATGTTTTAATTTCACAATTTCTATAGAGTCAAAATAGATGGAAAATTTCAATTAGTACCTAGATAGTCCCCTCAGCATCACAGTAAACCAATTGAGATAATCTGGTGTGATATATTAGAAATGAAACATTTTGAAAATTGTTACAGAATGCATAAAACTAGGCATTATAATTATTAATATATAAATATCAGTTCAGACTCTACTGCCCTAATTAATCACTTTTCAAAAAAAAAAAGAAAGAAAAGAAATTCAAAGTATTTACCAGACATATCACCATTGTGATCATAAAATGGAGGTGACGTATCAGACATTCCATTTCTCTTTGTCCATGCAAGTTGCAGACTCTGATCCTGTGTCATATTACAAAGCCCATCCTCAAAATCACATCTTTCATAATTTGAGCCTTTTGATAAGAGACAAAAAAAAGAAATTAGCTCTCCCGGAGCCATTTGGCTTCTTGAAAATGAAGACAATAGTAAAAATAGAAAGCTTAGTAAGTGACAAATATATATTCAAATAAACCAAAACCAAACTGAATTCACTGCCATGAAGTCAGATCTGACTCATAGTGACCCCTCCTTGGGTTTCCAAGGCAGTATCACTATGGAAGTAGACTGTCCCATCTTCCTTCTGAGGAGTGACTAGTGGGTTTGAGCCACCAGCCTTCTGGTTACCAGTGAGTGCCTTAGGCAGGATTATTTTTCACATTTTAAGTCTATTTCATTAATACAAAGCATTTTTTGCATATGACATCCTGATAAATAACCACACAAAAAACAGTGTGTTCAAATGGAAAGAAGGCCACACAGGGTTAGAAGTCATAGGATCTAAAAAACTGGTTTTGCCTTTGATTAACTGTCTTAGGCAAACCACTCAACCTCAACAAGTCCTTCTTATTTTCACTGGCAAGATTAGAATAATAACGTAACTTGCTGTCTTCCTCAAATACTTGCTATAAGGATCTAATTGTATAATGCATATAAAAGTACTTTTATAACTCTATAAAATAAAAAAAATTATTATTAAGGTTATACTTCTACTGAACCTGGATATGCCTTACACTTACTCATACTTGTATTTCATGGTTGGGCCAGACCAAGTCATAGAGGCCTCTCTGACTAAAAGGCAACCATCTGTGGCTGTCATGTACCCCTGGTATTAAGCACAGCACCCTAATTTAAATATCAATGTTCTTGAAATGCTTGGGGCTTTGATCACAACACTGGCATTCTCATGGGATCCTTGTCATTATTTATTTTGCCAGGGGAGGGGAAGGATGCAGCACAAAAGTTGTTCACAACAACCACCCAGATAGGCTGGATTTTGTTATGCAACACCTGCAAATGTCACTCTCTAAAAACTGGAGGACGTTAAGCTGATATAATTCTTCTCTGGGATTAGTTTAACAGCTGTGCTAATATTCCTTTGAAGGTTTGTTCTTATCCTAACTGATTGTGCTAGCCACAGAAGGGGTAAATACTTGGTTAATAGTTAGACAGTGCTTGGCAGCTTAGTCATAAAACATCATTTTTATTTAATTATATATTTGTGTTAAAAATATTATTTAATAATAATATATCTTGTACATTTTCTTTAGATCATCCGAAGGAGTACTAAAAGCTGATTTAGAAATATCACTTTTAAATAACGTTAACAAATCTGCTTCATCACCAAGAGTCCATTTTATCATTTTCCTTCAAACACTCTTTATTTTGAAAAAATTTGCCAACCAATTACATTATGAAATAATAACAAGAATACTAATAGCTGTAATTTGTCGAGGTTGTTTGTTCTTTGTTAGGCATTCTACTTTTAATAGTTCATTTATGCCTTACTATAATTCCATGAAAAAGCATTTTCTTCTATTGTAAAGATGAAGAAACTTAGATGTCTTAAAGGTATGAAATAACTTTGTCTAGATGAAACAGCTAGTTAGTTCCAAGACTGGAACCAGGTATTTTTGAGTTCAGAACCTAACCGCTTAAAATTCTGTTCTGAACATTAAATGTTAATCCACTGTCCCCTTTTTATCAAAGCCCTGGAATTAAAGGTCTCTCAGAACTTCTAGTCATCACGAGGAACCCAGTATTGCCAGACAGAGTAAAAGACCGTTCTTCCAAAAGCAGACGTTGGATTAGTTTATGAATCATTGTTAATGTCATCTCTGACTCACAATAACCTTATGGACAACAAATGAAACTTTGCCCTGTCCTGCTCCATCTTATCATTGGTATGGTTGAGGCCATTGTTGTGATTACTGTATAGTGCCTTCCAACCTAAGGGGTTCATCTTCCAATACAATACCGAACAATATTCTGTTGTGATCCTTAAGTTTTTCATTGGCTGATTTTCCAAAGCATATCACTGAGGCTTTTCTTCCTAGTTTGTTTTAGTCTGGAAGTTCTGCTGAAACCTATCCAACATGGGTGACCTGGCTAAAATTTAAAATACTGGTGATGTAGGTTCTATCATCATAGCAACATGCAAGGCACAACTGTGAGACAAACTGACAGATGAGTGGTGGCTATGAGACATGTCATAGTGAATTAACAATTTTAATAAAAACCAAAACAAACTCACTGCTATCGAGTTAATTCCAACTCATAACAACCCCCATTTGGGTTCCTGAGGCTATAAATCTTTACAGAATTAAATTGTCCTATCTTCCTGCTGCAGAGTGACTGGTGGATTTAGACCCTTGACCTTCTGGTTAGCAGCCAAATGCTTTATCCACTACACCACCAGGCCTTTAAAAGTATTCAGAATAACTGAAATATCCCAACCATTACCTGTACAGACTACCTAGTGGAATCTGTTTGAACAAAAAATAAATTATGTCATATAGTCAAAAATTATTATCCAATTAGCTGAGCATATGTCTATATAAATATACATCCATTTTCAAGTGTCTAGCAGTTTTGCAACAATCTATTTTTGGTAATAAAATCTTTGTATAAATGTGTAAACTATATCACCATATTTCAGCAATTACGTGTAAGAAATGTACACACATTCTCACATAGATATCAAACATTTTCCTTAAATAGAAATAAATTACCTTACAGTACAATTACTTAGTTGACTATTTGACATTTGTTTTCAATGTTCTTTGTTCTTTTTAATACACAATGATGATGATTTCTGGAAGCATTAGAACTAGAAAAATAGCTAAATAAAACATTTTTTCCCTCTGAGTAGTCTCAACAGGGGTTCTTTTTGTTATGATTCTAATGAGCATATATCTTCAGCTAATTCTTATTAAAAAAAAAGGCAATTGTGAACTTTTAATAAGTATTGGATTATTCAAAAATGCATCACCAAGTTTTTTCTAAGCATTCATTTTTGCTTTGATAGAGAATTATACATTTTAAAACTATTTGAACAACTTTCCTTCAACTGTGGCTGGTTTAACTTTTAATTCTATACGGCACATAGCCACATTCAAATCTGAAACTACTTGCTGTAATAAAATCTATCACCGTGCACATTTCCACCACAACATCTATCACTATATTTTGTTGAATAACACCACAGTCGAATGATAATGTTAAACACTGAGGAGATATGTTCAGGAACTTAGTAAAACCCATGTTCCCAGGATTTTTGAATTTATGGAACTCATCATTCTGTTTTCAATTTTATAATCCCAAAGGTCAGGCATGCGTTAGTCAGAAAGGAAATATGACTCAATGTCATGATTTCAGATTGCTCGGAGGCCAAATTATCTCCTGAATTGGCTCCACAGGGCCAGATTCTCTCATTCAAGATTCACTGGAGAGTCTTTCACAGATTAAGCCATTAGCATTATCAGTGTTGTTGTTACCATCCTTGAGTAGAGTCTGACCCCATGTGTGCAGAGTAGAACTGCTCTATAGGATTTTAAAGGCTGTGATCTTTCAGAAGCAAATCATCAAACCTGTCTTCTGAGGTACCTCTAGGGGTTTGAACCCACCAATCCTTTGGCCAGTAGTTGGGCACTTAACCATTTTCACCAACCAAGGATTCTCACTAACATGATAATGAAAATAATAATGTTAAATTATGTCCTCAAGTGAAAGTTATAGTCAATTTAAGAAATGCTTCTGAGGTAGTGGCAAGGAATAGAATATAGTTTAAATAATGGTAACAATGAAGAAACTGATCCAGAACTCAGGAATAACTCTGAAAATTATAAACTGGGTAAAGCCTGAAAATGTGAAGTTCTTAGGAGATAGAGAAAGGTAAGAATTAGGAAAATACAGAAGAGGGTAAAGTAGAGGGCATTAAAAGTAAATCACTTTTATAACAATTTTGCCCAGAACTATATTGATAGTTCTAAAAGTGCAATGAGGCACAAATGTAGTCTCTCCATAGGTATTGAGCCCTTTCTTTTTTAAGGAAAGTCATGAACTACTACAGAACTATAAAATTTTGCATACCATTCATTTTATCACTTTGGAAAATAGCTTCCTTCACATTGTTGTCATTGTTGTTAGGCACCATCAAGTTGTCTCTGATTCATAGTGACCCTGTGTACAGCAGCAGAATGAAAAACTGCCTGGTCCTGTGCCAGCCTCACAATCTTTACTATACCTGAGCCCATCATTGCAACCACTGTGTCAGTCAACCTTGTTGAGGGCTTTCCCCTGTTTCATTGACCCTCCACTTTACCAAGCATGATACCCTTCTCCAGAGAATGGTCCTTTCTGACAATATGACCAAAGTAGGTGAGATGAAATCTGGCCATTCTCGCTTTTAAGGAGCATTCTGGCTGCCCTTCTTCCAGGACAGATTTGCTAGTTCTTTTAGCAGTCCATGGTACCGTCAGCATTCTTCAACACTGCAACTCAAAAGCACTGACTCTTTTTCAGCCTTCCTTTTCCATTATCCAGTTCTCCCATACATATGAGGCAATTGAAAATACCATGGGTTATGTTAGGCACATCTTAGTTTTCAAAGTGACATCTTTGCTTTTCAGCATTTGAAAGAGGTTTTTGCAGCAGATTTGCCCAACGCAATACGTTGTCTGATGTCTTGACTGCTGCTTCCATTGGTGTTGATTGTGAAAGCAAGTAATATGAAGTCTTTGACAACTTCAATCTTTTCTCCATTTATCCATTTATACTGCTTATCAGTCCAATTGTGAGGATTTTCATTTTCTTTATACTGAGGTATAATCCATACTGCAGACTGCTGTCTTCAACCTTCATCAGTATAGTGCTTCAAGTCATCCTCAATTTCAGCAAGCAAAGTTGCATCGTCTGTGTAACTCAGGTTGTTAATGAGCCTTCCTCCAATCCTGATGCCACATTCTTCTTAATATAGTTCAGCTTCTCAGATTATTTGCTCAGTATACAGATTGAACAAGTACGGGAAAGGATATAACCCTGATGCACTCCCTTTTTGATTTTAAACCATGTAGTA